CTTAAAATGGAATTTAGTTTTAAATGGTGGAAAGAAAAAAACCATTAAATAGATTTTTAACAATTTTATTGGATAGATTACTAATTTTTTTCCTTTTCTATGTCGGCTTGGATGGGTATGAGTAGGGGTATCCAAAAAAAATGCAAAAACCAATTCGATTTTGTTTAAAGAAATAAAAAACCAATTTTTGGTTGGTACGGTTTATGAGGAAATGCTAACCAATTAACCGAAACGAATTTATAAACCAGTTTTATTATAATATATAAAATTAAAAAAATCGGGTTAATAAAAATGTCAAATTAAAAAAAAAGATAAATATAAACATTAAATATTAAATTAAAACTTGTTCAAAACGGTTAACCGGTTTCCCTTAACCGGTCGGTTTCAGTTCAGGAAAATTCTGAACCGAAAAACAGTTTGATTACAAAATCGATTAACCAGTTTTGAACACCCCTAGGTATGAGGCTATGACGAGCCCCTATTGGATGGGCTCTTAAATTTTTTAAGGCTAGAAAATTTAAGAGACCCAAGTTTTATAATAACTAAATGTTAGGATCTATTAACATCCTATTAATGAACTAAGGTTGATATAGTTAGGGCCTTAAGAAGATTATTTGGTAATTTATCTTTAATCCGATCATTACCTTCTTTGGTTCACCAGACAATCTTTTATTACGCAGGTAATATGAGAGGTGATATATAGGGTTATGTGATTACCGATAGAGAATAGAATTGTAAGATTATCGTGGTAATCCTATTTTTTGTCCAATTTTACCCCTATTTAAAAAAATTTTGAACATAAATGCCCTCCTTTTGATGTCAAATAACAATTAACAACTTGTTGAATGACTTCTTACCTCATTAATAATTATTGGATAAAAGTGTCTCATATTAATATATATATATATAATATATATATAATATATATATATATATATATATATATGAGTAAGTGTTACACTTACAAAAATCTTATAAAGATCTTCATATAAAGTGATATGACAAAAAATGAATGGAAGAGTAAATATAATGAGTTTGATAATTTAATCTTCAAGGTATTATATCACACTAGTAATCCTATCTTTTTGGTAATAAAACATTTCAGAACCAAATGCCCCTTAAAGATGTTTTATTTTTTATTAAATTTTATAATAATAAATTTATCCCTATATTAAATTGTAAAAATTAACTTTAATTTTTCATTCTTTATAAGTCTTTTTGACACCCCATTATTATCTCAGAAACTCTAATTTTTTTATGAGAGTGGACAATAAAGACATGGTTTGATAAATGAGTTTATTTCTAGTCGCATATAAATTTATAGTTATTTTTTTTTCTTTTTTAAGTATTGGTAGCTATTCAAATCTATATTTTTTTTGTGTTGTTTGACTTTATTATGTTATTGGAATTAATTGTAAGAATTTTTTTAGCTTCAATTTTTTATGAACTTTTAATTTGATTTTCCAAAATTTTGTTTTAGGAATACGATGGTGGGGGATATATCTCATAAGGAAAGAGAACGATATGTTGGGTATTTATGAAATTTGTGGGCTGCCATTAAAAAAAAAAAAGTATATATATATAACTTTGAAATCGGGTATTTTAAGAATTGAGATATTTTTAGTCAATTAAGGTTTTTGTATACAATATTTTTTTTTTCAATTTCAAATTTAGTTAGGTTTTTTGTTTATACCATTTTTGTTCAGTTTCAAATTTAAAACTTATTTTTTCTTCTTCAGATTCAAATTTATCTCATTGTGTGATTACTTTTTCCGTAATTTTAATAATATAGTTCCATCAAATAAAAAATTGTTTTAGTGATTCAAAAAAATTAGAGTTAGGGTTTTCTAAAAGCTAAAGATTAAAAATTAAAACAAAAATATAAAATATAGTATAAGTATATTTAGAAATTATTATGTTTTTTCTATTCATTTTTATTAAGGTTAAACTTGTCAAAACAAAAAAATATATAAGTAAAAGTGGGGGATATCGATCAATTTAATAGGGGGTAAAAACTTCCCTTAAATTTATTAAAATATTAAAATTTATCAATATATTATTATTTATCAAAACTTCCATCTTCTTCAAACATTCAGTTTTGTATATATGTATTTTATATTTAGTGATAATACATTGCACATGTATAATTATATTTCACTAACCAAACTCTCAAAGCCACTACCCAAAATCCATTGAAGATTATATTGTATTTTCTAAGTAAATAAATTTTTCTGTATATTATACCTTATGATAGCTCTTGATCTTGCAGTATTTTTGGGAAAATCTTATATACTTCCCTTTAGCTTAAAAGATGAGATACAATTAAAGAGGAAATACTGAAAGTGAATGTTTACAGGAGAAATTAATTTCACACTAAAGTATCATACATTTATACAATTATTCTTTTAATAAGCTTAGTTATTAATATAAAGTTTAAAAATTGAAGGTTTATTGAGTTTTGTTTGCTAGTGTATTTGCCTTAAAACCAATGATAGATGTAATAAGGTTTAGGGCAACATCTGTATATATAAACTTTATAATGATTTTATCATTAACAAAATGATGATTATTCTACACTACTTTGTGTTATCTATATTTAGTTAAGTTGTATATGTCTTTGAGCTTGTTTCAGAAAGAATTTTATTTTCGTAGAGTTTGACAATATGAGTATCAGAATTCTTTTAGTATGACTCGCTCTTAATTATGTTCCTTATCAGATGTGATAATAATTGGGCACAATGTTATCACAAAATCAGCATTACTATGTGTTGCCATTGATTAGCATGAGATGTTGATGGTTGAGTGATGAGACTTATGACAAGTGATGTGGTAATTCATTAGAGAATGAAGCATCGAACATGACTATCGGTCGATTGATCATATGGGTGTAACATCTTCAGTCAATGATCATCATTATGTGCATTAATGTCACCTTATCCTTATACCTGAGATACAATCATGTCTTGTGCATAGGTGCTCGTGGTTCTTCAGTACATTATAACTAGAATATTCATATCTAGTGTGTAGTGCTTGTTGCTCATGAGTTAATCATGTATGGAGTCATATGTGTACTCAATAAGGAATTTGATTACTCGAATGTTATGAGCTTAAGTGTTCCAAGGGATCAACGAATGTGGAAGAAGTCTTTGGCAAAAGCATTTGTGTTTTATGAATAGTTTCACTACAACAAAAATGGCCTACGGTAACACTAGACAGTAGCACTTTTCCTTAAAGTGTTACCGTAGACTATTTATGATAACACTTGATGTTAAAATGTTACGATAACAATTTTTATATGTAACATTTTAACTTTTTGCAACATATTTTATATCAATGATAACTCTTTTTCTTAAATGTTATGGAAAATATATCTATAGTAGCATTTTTAAAGTGTTACAATAGACCTAATAATATAGTAATTTTTTTATAATGTTACCATATAATCAAAATACAGTAACATTTTATAAGTGTTACCATAAACCCAATTATTTACCGGAAAACAAAATATTATTCCCGCAAATATGAAATGAGGTTGATTTTGTGTCATTTTTATTGGTTAGGGGTCAAATTTACTATTTGGGTTTTACTTTGTTGCATCTCATTCATGTAGGGACCAAACTAAAATGTTTTTACAAATAGTATAAAAGGAAGATGGAAGGTTATGCAAAGCCAAAAACGTCCACTCATCTTCATCCATTTTCCGGAGACCGTCCAACTTCCACCTTCGACGACCATTTTCCTTCTCCAACGACTGGCCGTCATCACGTAAGACCTTCCTAGATTCCAACGACTATTAAGTTTCCTCCATCTGTGACCATTCATCTTCTCGATGACTTTAATTTCTTAGTTTTTCGGCAACTTCTAGACATCCTAGGGGCTGGTCCATACTCCCTAAGGTCAGATCCACCTTCCCCAAGCTTGGTTAACTCGAAATCTCGCCTGAAAAAGCCATTTCACCGTCTTGACTCTTAACCTTAATTCTCAATGTGATTTCATCACTTTTTGGTGTCGTTTCATCTCCCAAGTGTTGAAGTTGTCCACCATTTCAACAATAAGGGGTCACGCATATGCATTTGGGAGTCTTGTTGCCCGGTCAATGGGTAAGGGTGCAGGGGACAGCACGTCCCGACCTGCAGGCAATTTGCGTGTATTGAAATAATATTGATTCTACTAAATTAAAATATGGTAACACTTAAAAGTGTTACTAAATCAAAATATAATAACACTTAAAAGTATTACAATTTTCTTAAACTTTAACCGGGAAAAAACCTATATACCCGCCAAGCAAAATTTACCCCCCCAAAAAAAATACCCAATACCTCATTCACTCATCTTCTTCACGCCACTTTTGCAATTTTACTTCTTCACTAAAATTTCAGCTGCAAACTTCCCTCTATAACAATTTTTCGTTATTTCAGTGAAGCCACCCTACACTTAGAGCATTTTCAACTCTTCCAACCTACTCACTCAAACAAAATACCCTACACTTAATCATCTTCATTCAGAAAAATCTAGTGAAAATTATTGGTTTCATTGAATTTTTAGCTTAAAATTCCAATACCCATAACCTATTGAACCCTAAATCGAAGCCCCTATCCTTTAAGAGGCACATCAATGAAGCTACGATTCAGGTGAATCATTTTCTTCATTTTTTTAATCTTGTCAATTGTTTGCTTATGTTTTTTGGTTATTTGATAGTGAGTATGTTGTTCATTAGGGTACACAAACTTTGGGTGGAGGGTCGCCTGTAAAAAAGGTCATTTCTAGTTGCTTCACATTCTTCTTTTCACTCTTGCACTCCTTCCTCACATTTGTTACTTTTTTTTTTTTTTTTTTTTTGTGCATTTGCTGTTTATTGTTTTGTGCTTTGTTTGTCCCAATCTCCTTTTTCCAAATAAATGAAGTTTGTATAATAATTTATCATGATTTTTCTCAAGTTGGCTTCTGTTGATGATTTATAAGCTAACAATGACATATGTTTGGATTTCACAGTTGTCAACATGGGAACCAAATTTAGACCCATTTGGGTTGCTTTTCTCCTTTTGCTGTTCTTGTCCTCTACTGTGTTTTCTTCGCCCCATGATGGTTTAATTCGAACTGGGCTGAAAAAGAAGAAAGTGGATCAAGTCAACAGGTTTGTTGGACAGACGGACTCTAAGGAAAGGGAAACAGTAAGGGTACCTGTCAGAAAGTATAATCTCCATGGTAATCTTAAAGACTCGGACACCGATATTGTTGCACTTAAGAACTATATGGATGCACAATATTTTGGTGATATTGGCATTGGTACTCCTTCCCAAACATTCACTGTGATATTTGACACGGGAAGTTCTAATCTTTGGGTGCCCTCTTCAAAGTGTTACTTTTCAGTGAGTCTCTTTAACCTTCTCACTTTAGTTATTCAAGAATCTTTATTCAATGGAATTTTACTGNTTAATTAAGCATGTATGATGTTTGCTTTGCTTTAGAGTTGAGGAGTATTTTCTATTTTTAGTTTTTTCTTCAGTTGTTCTCCTCTTGTATACTCCTTTTAGCCTTTTTAAATGTTATGTTATTTTCTTATTCGAGAGACTTATTCTTTCTGATTGCATATTTGGAGATGTTAGTAATATTTATTATTGATTTTCATGCAGTAGACTCCATCTAAAGTAAGTGTACCTTTGTTAAATCTGGTTGATATGATTTTTCAGCTGAAGAGAAGAGGTTGGCTAAGGTGGGTAAAGCCTTTTATTTTTCTGGATATCGTGAATTCATTTTTTGCTTCAAAATCTTAATATTATGTTAATGCACTCTGCTTCTCATGCTTCTAGGTTTAGACTAGTAACCAAATCAAACACAAATCCAGAGCAAAAATGTAGACTACAGTTTGCAAAAATGCAGACTGCAGTTTGCAAAAATGCAGACTGTAGTTTGCAAAAAGCGACGTCTTAAATAGTTTGCATGTGCATATTTGAATATGAATTTATTGTATTTGTCAAATTGTAATAGTGTTTCCGTTTGTGTAGATAGAAATTTGTCCCATATCAAGAGGGAATTAAAGATTATTGTAACAAGAAGGATTAGAGTTAATAAGCTATGAATGACACTGAAGAAGAAGCAAGAATCAAGAAGAACAAAGAAGAGCTGAAAAAACTCTGTATTTCCTTAACTGAAAATTGTTACAAGAAGGAAACAGTTTATACTTGGTTAATGAGTATCAAAACGCAGAGTTTTAACTTCATGGTTTTGATCTTTACAAAATACACCCCATATGATATTCTAAAAAATTACAAATATACCCCATTATACTAATAGGCTCCCTTAAACTAAACTATGTAACTATATAACAGGCTGCTATAAACTTCCGGAGACTGAACTATATTCCCCATTATACTAATATGCTCCCTTAATCTGAACTATGGAACAACTATGGAACACTCTATCAGCATCAGCACCATCTTTTGAAAATTAATCAACACAACACCAACCCCAACATCACCAATCTTCTGATCTAGAATTTTTCACTAGCATCAACATCACCAATCTTTCGATCTGAAACTTTCTAGAACCAGTAAACAATAAAGCATCAGCACCAACATTCCAACTTCTGAACACCAATCTTCTGAAATTTTTTGTAATGGTAACAACACAACACAGCACCAACACACCAGCACCAACTTTCAGAATTAGTAAACAAACACAGGTAAATCGAAAGACAACACACAACACATCACTAGCACACCAACACCAACTTTCCAACTGCAAAAACAAACATAGGTAAATCCAGAGACAACACACAACACATCACTAGCACACCAACACCAACTTTCCAACTGCAAACACCAATCTTCTAAAATTTTCTGTAATGGTAACAACACAACACAACACTAGCACAATAGGACCAACTTTCAGAATCAGTAAACAAACATAGGTAAATCCAGAGACAACACACAACACAGCACTAGCACACCAACACCAACTTTCCAACTGCAAACACCAATCTTTTGAAATTTTCTCTAATGGTAACAACACAGCACAGCACCAGCACACTAGCACCGACTTTCATAATCAATAAACAAACACAGGTAAATCCAGAGACAACACTGAACACAACACTAGCACACCAACACTAACTTTCAAAAAAATCAGTAAACAAACACAACACTAGAAACAACACACAAACTGCAACTCCAACACTTTTAGAAGCACAACACCAGAAATAACACACAAACTACAAACTGCAACTCCAACACTTACTCAGAATTAGTACCACTGTTAGTACTGCTGTCTTCTTCATACTCAATACTAGAAGTTACATTCAGCTTCTTCCTTAGAGATTGAAATATGTTTCCTGGCAAGGCCTTAGTTAAAACATCCGGAATTAGGTACTCTGTACCAACAAATTGAACTACTAAATGCTTGTTAGCAAACAATTCTTGCACATAATGTACATCTATTTCAATGTGTTTTGTTCTAGTATGAAACACCAGGTTAGATGAGAGTGCTCCAGCACTCATATTGTCATACCAAAAAACAGGGGTTGTGTTGATGTTTATGCCAAGTTCTTGAAATAAATGCTAAATCTAGACAAGTTCAGTGGCTACTTAACAGAGGGCTCTATATTCAGCTTATGTCAAAGATAAGGAGACCATTCTTTGTTTCCTTGAGCTCCATTGCACTAAGTTACCTCCAAGGAAAATACTATAACCATTTTGGATCTTCTGTCACTCACATCAATTGCCTAATCAGCATCCGCATAGCCTTCTAGAATAAAATATGTCCTCTTTGTAAATAGAAGTTCATACTGCAAGGTCCCTTTAATGTATCGCAGTAATCTTTTACAAGTACTCTCATGGGCAATGGTAAGAGCCTGAAGAAATTGACTTAGCTAGTTGACAGAGAAGGCTAAATTAGGCCTGGAATGGGTAAGATACTGTAGACCTCTTACAATGCTTCTGTAGAGAGAAGGTTCTTCGAAAAAGGCACTATCTTCTCTACCAAGTTTTACTCCCATAGTCATAGGAGTACTATAAGGTTTACACTCACTCATGCCAGCTTTAGTTAGCAAATCTTAAGCATACTTGCATTGAATGAGAAGTAACGTGGAATCATTCCTTTGAACTTCAAAACCAAGGAAATATTGTAGAAGCCCAAGATGTTTCAAAGCAAACTGCCGATTTAAATCTTCAATTATTTTTGCTATTAGTGTCGAGTTAGTCCCTGTGATTAGGATGTCATTCACATATACTAAGAGATATATAACTTAACTCCCTCGTTTGAAGAAAAAGAGACTAGTGTTCGAGGCTGAGTTGTTGAAACCCCAACCAATAAGAGCTGTTTTTAGCTTATCAAACCAAGCTCTAGGGGCTTGTTTTAAACCATACAAGGCTTTGTTGAGCTTACACACATGGTAAGGACAAGTAAAATCAGAAAACCCCTCAAGTTGCTGCATAAAAACAGTTTCTGTGAGATCACCATTTAGAAATGCATTGTTAATGTCAATTTGTTGTATTTCCCATTGATGTTACACAGCCAAAGACAACATAATTCTGATGGTTGCAGGCTTAATAACAAGAGAGAAAGTGTCAAGGTAATCTAAGCCAAGGGTTTGTTGAAAACCCTTGGCTACCAGCCTTGCTTTGTACTTTTGTAAAGTTCTATCTGACTTTAGTTTAGTTTTGAATACCCACTTGCAGCCTACTATGTGCATGTTTGGAGAATAAGGAACTAAGTCCCAAGTTTTTTTTCTCAAGAGAGCTTGGAACTCATCAGCCATGGTAGCTTTCCATTCTGGAATTTTCAGTGCTTCAGAGGAAGTCTTTGGTTCAGCTAGATTGTGGCATGTTGAGAGTAGTGCTTGTCCTGCTGTGTGCTTAGATCGGGTGATCATAGGATGACAGTTTCCACTTATAGATGAATGTTAGGGTCTGGTGAAAGGTTAAACAACCTCCAGTTGTATACCTTGGGAGGAGCTACCGTGTGGGATTGACACTGAACCAAATTCTGATCTTGGAAATGTGACAGACTCATGTGCAACCTTTATAGTTGAATCAGTCAAGCTGAAACTATGATTAGCAGAAGACACTCCAGGAATGGAAGGAACATTATTCGTGGGCATAAGAACTGGACCAGACTGTGGTTTGCTGACAGGCAAGACAACTTCTAACTGTATACCTTGAGAAGAGTTACCAAGTGGAGCATAAACTGGACCAGATTCTGTTTTTGGGGCTGTCACATACTCATGTGTGGATATTGTGGATGGATTTGCTGAACTACACTCATTATTAGTAGGTGATAAACTAGTAGCTGGGGGATCATTATTAGATATTGTGGTTGGATTTGCTGAACTGCACTCGTTATTAATAGGTGATAAACCAATAGTTAAGGGATCATTATTAGTAGTTAAGTGAGCAGTAGTTGCAACAGCTTCTGTTGGTAAGTTTGCACCAACAAAGAAATCACCATCCACACACCTAACTGGTATCTTAGTAGCTGGTATCTGAGTTGTGGCATCACCATCCACACACCTTGGCAATGTCCAAGGAAAGTAGCCTGATTGAGGTGTGGAAATCTGCCCTGCAAGTTCAACCTTTTTGATCAGATGACATTTAAAACTATGTTTGAAAGGAAAGGAAAATTCATTAAACTTGGCCTGTTTAATGATTTATAGTTTCCCTGAAGAGCACAAGCACTTGAATCCTTTGTGAGAAGTGTTATATGCTAGAAAGACACAAACTTCAATGTGATAGGAAAACTTGTGTCGTTGGTAAGGTCTAATGAATGGATAACAATAGCACCCAAAAACTCTAAAATCATTGTAGGTAGGTTCTTTATGGCATAGCTTTTGGAAAGGAGAAATATTCTGAAGAATTGATGAGGGTAACTTGCTGATTATAAACACAACTGCACTAAAAGCTTGCCACCAAAAACAAAGGGGCATGGTAGCATGAGCCAGGAGAGTTAGGCCAAACTCAGTGACAATTCGATGCTTTCTTTCTACCCTTCCATTTTGTTGATGGAGATAAGGACAATGGTGTCTAAACACAATTCCTTGCTCTTGTGAATACTTGGTAAAATATCATAATTCCCTACCCCAGTTAGTTTGCAAACACTTCAATTTAACCTCAAATTGTCTTTCAACCAAACTGTGAAACAACTTGAACACAATAAAAGCTTTAGATTTTAATTTCAAGGGATAGATCCACATGTATGTAGTAAAATTATCCACGAAAAGCATGTAATATTTAAAACCTTCAGAGGAACATTATGGTGTAGGACCCCACAAGTCTAAATAAACCAATTCAAGAGGGCCATTAGTGTTGGATGTGGACAGAGGAAAAGTGGCTTGTTGCATTTTACCAAATTGGCAAGCTTCACAAAAAAGACATTTTATTTCTAAAAGATCTAGCTACATTGACTCTATCCATTACAAGCCTCAAATTCTTTTCATTTGGGTGACCCA